AACTCAGTTTGAACTTCCATTGCATCTTGTTTCCGTCTTTCTGCCCTCTGCAGAGTTCTCGAGGGAGAGTCTATTAGAGGCTGCCGGTGGGCTCGAGTGTCCCCTCTCCAAGGAGAAAGAGGATTGTTTCAGTGTTGCCAGTGTAGCAGATCCCTCATCGCAACAAAACAATGCACAAGCAGGTACATAACTGTCATTAGAGCCTTGCTTTTTGCAGAAAATGTCTCCAACGTGGTCTTTTCCTCAGGGGACTCCTCGTCCTCCACGCAGCCGGCAGGATTTATTTAAATTTGTTAAACTGCGCAACAGCTTTGGCTTGCTGTCATATAATCATGGCTCGTCAACAAACATCTGCGAAGTGGCTTTGATCCCCATTTCACAGAGCACCGACATGGCTGAAATACTCTGAGAGGAAGCTACACACACGAGTGGAAAAATCAGGTTTGGGAAAAGGGGGCAGGAGGAGAGCTAATACTGGCATATGGAGCAAATGGAGCAAATGGAGCATGTAGTTTTTTTCCCTTTCTGTATTTCATTCTTTCTTTCTCGCTGAAATGTGTCATTTCTTTTCTATGACTTGCTGTGAGTCCTAAAATCTTTCATGAGGCATTGATGGTGTTATTAGTGAACCCACGGCTGAAATAAGCCCAACATCTCTCCGGTCTTGTGCTTTTAAAATTCATATAAAATCTTTTAATCATATGTCACATGCTGAGACAAACACAGCTCACTCCTGGCTGCTGATCGTTTGATAGGATGATACAAATGCTGCTCATTGATTTCAACTGTAGTAAGTTTCATGTGAGCAAAGGGAAACCTGTGACTACAAGTTCACCACTGCAGGTAATACACCACTTGGCTGGTTGCGTGACTCACTTGACTTAATTTCTCACACATTTGGATTTTGAGTGACTGTTTTGGCCTCATGGATGCAGAATAATACAAATCTTAGAGTTACATTTAATGAGCTATGTTTGGAGAAGCACAGTTTAGGGTCGTGAAAACCCAATCTGATTTATCCATGCCTGGTGTGAAGTCTTGGGTCATCACAGAGATTCAGCACACCTGCTCCAGCTCCACTATCAGCTGGCTAACAAGTCTGTCTCCTCTCTCTGCTTTCCATCTTGTAAATCTTTCACAGCACACATTTTGACTTGTCACAGTAAGGAAAGCACAAGTAAAATTAATGATGCCTCACTTCCATGTTCCAATATTATAAACCATGACAGTGAAACGCCAAACACTGTATATAAATAATGGACATACCCTCCAGGTATGATGTCACTTCAGCAGTGTTGGGAAAGTTACGTTTTAAATGCATTCACTACAGATTACAGAATACATGCGCCAAAATGTAATTTGTAATGTATTCCGTTAAGTTACTCAATGTGAGTAGCATACTGTGAATACTTTGGATTACTTGGTGTATTGCGAGTAGCCTTCAGTAATAGTAATAAATCACACAGCAATAGTACATCGAAGGTACTGAAGTGGCACATAACCCAGGTAGCTACATCAGCTACAGGTAGTTGCAGTAGGCTAACATTTGTTTTTTAAAAAGAACTGACTTCCAGATGTTTCTTTGGGTTTGATGCTGAGAGCAGCTTGGTTGCTGGCATTGCACAGTCATATTCCCCCATTCCTTTCTTCTTTAAATGTGAAGTGGTGTCGGAGTTGCCAAATAAGAAATGAATTCCTGCCCATGCACTGCTGCCTCTGTCGTGCTGGCCCCGGGTCCATTGTTTAACTGATGCCACCAAAATTAGCAGGACGTTGTTACATTAGAACCGTTTGTTTGGGTTTCTGGCAATGCGTGGAATTACTAAAGTTAGAGAGTGGATAGCCTAACATATGAAACTGGAAATGACTGTTGTGTAATCCATTTATTTCAACAAAGTAGCTGTATTCTAATTATCACCTATTTAAATGGTAACTTTAACGAAATGCAGTTACTCATATTTTGTATTTTAAATATGTAACGGCGGTACATGTACT